ATGAAAATAAGACAATAATCCTTTTACTTCTCAATGAAAAAAGTCGAGTAAGTCTTATGTTCAGACGCCCTGAAATTTTAACTCACCTTTCGCCTGCTGAACTTATTTCATTACATCTGCGTCTGATGCCAATATCATTTTAGGTAAACAATTATTTTTTTCGTCCATGTGTATTCAAGGATAGTTTTCATTATGGAAGATAAACTCAAACCAATGCGCGCGCTCTTGCTTCTAATACCCCACTGTGTCAAATACCCATTTTTTCTTCGATTTTGTTCATAGAGAAGAATAGCTCCTTCTTGATTCAGACAGGGAGTTGATTTCAGGACAAGCAACTACACACAAAAAAAGGAATGTTTTGGAGTCATTAGAAACAAATATTGTGTTTCGTAAGCTCATGGTCCCACTGACTGGTGTCCGTCAAAACAAAGTATTCAATATCGCAGTGGTAAGTGGAGGCTCATTGGAACATGTTCAGCGCTTTTTATCTTTGATTTCCGGGAAAGGAAACAAGTTTGTTATTCAGATCTTATCAACGGTGATATATCTTTTAATGAAGGAAGTTTGCAGATTCCTCTTAACAACTTTCTTTTTGCATTTTAAAATGCAATTTTAGAACTCACTCATTTGTGCTTCACATCGCGACTTCAAGTCTTAGGAGAGTATAACTCTCATGAAAATTAAAAGAAAACGGAAACAAGATGAAAAATCGTCACACCTAGCGTCAAAATATCAGTTACGAGATTTTATACCGTAAGTTGGTTTATCATCGTGGTAGTATAGTGCATTGCGATAACGCTGATCAAGATACACATGTGATAATGCTGTACTAGGAAAAGAGGAAAAAGAAAAAGGTGAAATATCGAGTTTATTTCCTGGCAGTAGCAGTGCCGTGTTCTATATTTATCTTTAGGATGTACTTTGTTATGACTGATAAAAAAAGTAGATAACAGATTTAAAAAAAACATATTTATTGAATGCCCTGTTGAAATTTACCTAGGTTGTAATGCACATTTTCTCTCATGTTCGTGTGAACTTATTCTGAAACGAGGTGCAAAACCGTAATGTTATGTATTGTGCAATATTTTCTAAATTCTAACACCTATTTTTACATTCAAATGTTGTCATAACAGACATGAGGCATTTGAATTCGTATCATCAACTGTATTTAAACTGAGATACGAAAAATATTGGTTTTTCTTTTAGAACTATAACCTTTGATATTGCTTCAGAAGATTGTTCCTAGCAATAAATTTTCCACCCCGCCAGGTTTTAGTTGCTAAAAATGAATTTTGATACCATGATTTGATTTCGACTGTTTCTCTAACAGGCACTAAGCTGCTAGCTTCCACGCACGGTACAGTAAGGACATCTTTACCGAGACCAGGTAGAAGAGCCTCAAAACTTTTCTCACGCAAAACATTTTGATTATTTCCAGGAAGTAATGATAACTCTTAAGGAAGAGAGACTTTAAAAACGGACTTTCCAACCTAAGTATAAAACTGAAATCAGTCATCGGAGTTTGATTCAGAAGCATAAAGCATATTGTCTTTATGTTTTTGTAGCTTATAATTAATTACTGTGAAAAGGTATTGGTGTAAAGACATGCAGTGTTATGTTTTTTTTTTACGTTGTGGTTTAGTTGCTTCACTAGTATGTATTTAAAGTGGGACGTTCGTAGATCTTGTCCGAGAGTATTTTTGCAATGTAGTTCACTCTTAAACTTGTTAAATGAAACTTATCCTAAAATCTCTATGTTGAAATGTTTATTATAGTAGTTCACTTTTTTTAACATCCATGAACATAATTGGCTCAGGACGCTTTTGCAGTCGTTCTGAAAATTTGGTATGCTCAACATGCACTAGAAATTTCCGCAGCGTGTCCTTGTAATATTTGAACTGACTGCCCAGTGAAGAATACGTACTTATTGACAAAATGGGAGGGCCGAACGGGAAAGTATTAGGCTCGTTTTTCTATGACGAACGGACTAGACGCAGCGGGGTTCTTGTGTCATGAACACGAGCCAAATATTTTCTCATTCGACCCGACACAACTCATTCAATAAGCGTTTTATCATGTGACCCTTGCAATTTCTTATTCCTCTTTTATTTCCTTGAGTCGCATCTTGTTGGGCCGTACGGCTTTTTCCAGAACTGCTCACGTCATTGCGTATTGGGATTTATTTCTGAAGTTTTTCAATGAAAAAATGCGCTCATTCTCGTACATGTACGTGTCACAAAAAAAATGCCCTTAGAAATCATTAGAAGTTAAAAAAAAAGTCATCTGCCATTCAATTCATTAATAAGTGTACATCTATTTCTGAAATCCTACCCCAGTAATATCAAGTATCGAAATTCGTACAGATATTTAAAATGAACGACACTTTGATTATTAAGAAATCTTGTGTATTTGATATGCAGTGGTGATCGTTTAATTTAACAAAAAAAAAAAATACTTTCTCTCAGCTTGAAATCTTTTCAAAAGTCAACTTTCTCATGTTGTATTTTGTCTTCTATAATTGACAGATATTTGTCGGCTATCGGGTTGAAAAACCCATCAAACACTATTTGAAAAGAACGAGTAATTTCTACACAAAAATGTATATCCATCTGTGGGTATTTCGTTTCTTTTGCGATAATTTTTTTCGATTGACGTCAAAAGGAAGTAGGCAAGATTATAAGGGTCAGATTTCCTTCGTGCACCATCAAACCGAAGGCATATTTTTCTTACTGAGCTTACTGCATTTGATCTAAGTCCCTTTTGTCTTGCCGAAAATAGAATATTAGATTTTAGCAAGTGTTATCAAGGCAAATCCCTTAGATTACAAGTTATTTATTTCAAAATCCTTAAAAAAGATTCATACTTCATTCCATATCGTCTTCATTTCAAATACAATTGTCATTTAGCGTCTATTTTCGTTGAAGAGGATCTCGGAAAATAAAAAGAGTGATAATGCCCTCATGAGCTGAGGATTGTTGAGCTTATATTGGCGATGTTATTTGTTTCTATGGTAACGGGTGTTCGAAGAGCTTGAAAGAAATATAGGCTTCACTTCTGAAGTAGATAAATGTGCTTGTACTGCTTTTAATATAGAGCTGGTTTTTGTTTCAATTTGTTCCGCTGTGAGATCAAGAAGGGCTTCAACTACGTACACCAAAACTGAATACGGTTTCTTCTACATGTCTTAAATTTGTTAATTCAAGCTCACTTTCAATAAAATTATCAAAACACAGAAGCTTCCGTTGCGAAGTCGTCCGCAGTTGCGTATTCATCAAGAACATCATTTTCTTTTTGAGAGTTTTTGTTTTCAGTAAAGGGTTCCATCTATGAATTTTCCAAGCGAGAGATAATCCTTGAAGATGAGCAGCTCTCAAAGAAATAGCAGAAACGAAACCTGAAAAAATTCTGGCTTTCACGGCAGTCGAACGCTTTTGTTCCAGGTACGAGTTGGGTGACACCACTAATTATTGACCTACAGTGAACCATGCGGAGAAAAAGCAAATTATTTGTGGATTATTCGAGGGATGGTCTCAAATTTACTTTCGAATCGTGGATTTTACTTGAAATGTGTGTCGCCTTATGAAAGGCCTAAAATTTAACTCTTTAACAATAAATCAAACGTAGCTCGTTCTGTGAATGACAGAGAGCAATTTTCACATCTAGAGAAAGTGTGGGTACTTATTAACTTTCTTACGTCGACTACAACTTGAAATGCGTTAATTGTTTGTCAGTGTACTATGATTTGCGATATTGAAATTCATGCCGTAAGGCATCGAAATGATGATTAAGAACATATTCTGTTTCTTTTTATATGTATATCCCGAAGATCATCACTGATGTGCACGATTGATGAATGCCTGGTTGATTGCTCAAATGTTTGCGTGATGGAGGCGCGACTCAACTTGTTTAGATTGTGAATTTAAAAACACAAGTATTGTAATGACATCGGGCTCAAAATCAAGGAGGGCCTCTGCGAAGTTTCAAGCATTTTCTCTTCTCGTTTACTTGAAACAAAGTACACTTTAGGACTCAATATAATTTTATTATGTGCAATGAGAAACAAGGAGCACCATGTTTCTCCAGAAAATAGCACCAAGCGATTGAGTAAACGAATAAGCTTAGAATTAGGGTGAAAATATGAGCAGTTTTAGTTTGTAAAACCATATTTAATAAATTTTTTGTGGTTGCTTATTTGGAAATTGTAATTTGTAAAGAAAATAGATTTTATAAAGTAATGATTTGTCGACAGAAGACCAATATGAACAAAGCACGCAATTAGGATTTCTTTGTTCCTACTGTCAACATTAATCAGTTTTCATGGCAGGTTCTGGATCCTATGCTGCTTCGTATATTCAATATAGCTGCATGGCCACTGGAAGAACCTAAGTAATCATCTTTTACGTTTAAAATTCCTCTAAAGAGAAAATGAAAATTCTTATAAAAATCCCTAGACTTTATTGCAACAGCTTTTTCAGTTGACGACAGGTAAATTGTTCTACCATAAATGAGACAACTGGTTGCGACAAGAAAATCTTTGAGACCGTTATGGTAAATTTGTTCAAGAAATTATCCTTTTTTTTTTTTTTTTTTATATTTTGGCGAAAAATGCGTTTAATCGAATAAATATTATCATCCTTGATATCTTTGTCTTTAATATGTTTTAACAAAGCTTATGTAAACCCCCATTGAAAGTAGTAACTGGTCAACAAGGAACGAACAAATAGTAGAATGAAAAAAACAATTTGCATATGTTATCGCTATAATTGGTAACATCGTCAAGAATTAAATGCCATTATTGTTAAACCATGCCATACAGGGTATTTACCAGATTCGGTTCAGTTTTCGGGATAAGGTGCAAAACTATTCTTTTAAAAAAAGGTCAGTTATTTCAGCGCCCATGACAAAACAGCAGATACAAGGTCCGTCCACCGGAAATGCCAATTAGTATCGTAGGCAAACATATTTTTCGCAATATTGAACTTGTTCTTTCTGTTGACAGAGTCAGAACTCCAGTGAGAGCTGCAATATCGTGGCAGCGTTTAGCTTGGATAGAGTAAAATTCCGGGCTGCTGATACAATTTTGGCAACTCGAGATGCGTTTGTGCGTCGGTTTTATGTTGCTGTTGTGGATTTGCTCTCTTTGTTACAACGGAGAAGGAGTCCCTGGAGATTCAATCCTGCGAAAGGCAAGATGTTATGCAAACTGCTTCACCCGGGTAAGTTTATTCCAAAATACTTCACGTCGAAGAAACCGCACTAAGTACTCTTAAAGTTTGAAATGAGTTTTTTTTTTTCTATTAAAACTCGACGGCTTTAATTCGACTCTGTATAAGTCAGAGTTAATCGTACCTCAACTTCACATTGTAGCTTTGACAATACCTTGTCATGCTTATGCCTTTAAAACGTTCAATGATAATTGAATCAAAGAGACTATCGACTAATATCAAATAATTTCTAGCGTCTTTAAAAATTTCACGCAACAGAAACAAAACGATTTTAACGATCGAAAATATAAAAAAATTGATTGGCAGCTAACAAGGCAAAATCAAATCCAGTTCTTCTATTTTAAAGGCAAGACGATTGAGTTTCCGACCGGAAAAGACAATAAAATAAAGTATGCAAACTTCGTGTGCTGCAAAACTTTATGACCGTCGTTTAATGAATAGCGCTGAACCGAAAAATCTGTTTTTCTGTACACGATTTTTATGAATCAAAGCTTTAACCATGGAACACTGGGGGCGATTCTTTCGGTAAAATAAATGTTACATTTGCATTTTTTGCGGTGTAATTAAATCGAATTTACCTTGAGGTGAGTCTAGACCACTGTCTTTGAAATGAATCATTTCAGAATTTTTTTTCGAGCGTAAGCCATGGTTAAGTTATATTATTAATTGTTGGTCAAGTTTTGTTATTTCGGGAAGGAATCAACTAGATTCTCCGTCTGATATCTGGTTTGCATGAGTAAAGGCTACGAATTGTCACCTGCAGGAGTCTTTGGTTTAATTTTATTTCTTAAAGAGTGATTGCAAACGGTAATTCAGAATTGTAATTGACGCAGTTCACCTGAGGCGTGCATTTAATTCTGCAAAATCGAGAAACCGGATATACAGCATAATTGATAAACTTGGCGATTCTCACCGTTTATCTTACCATCAAGGAGAGATTAAATTGCGAACTCTATTTTTTTGTTTGTTACTGTGCAAAGAAAACATAAGCCCACGCTACCGTCGAAGCGCACAGGCCCATATCTCTGATATTTAGAACTGCTGTGAAAATTCTTGTTTTTTGTAGAACAATTTTGACACGTCCAAAGTAATTACTTTCTCGAAGTGCAAAATGACAAGTGTGTCTTTGTAGTTGACGAATATATCCATGTTTGACGATAGCTGCCTTGAATTTTACCGCTTAAGTTTACATTAAGGTACATTTGGTTTGCGGAAGACGTTAGTCTTCTGTTTTCTTAAATACGCGGGTTGAATTTACAAATGGTTTCTTTCATTTCAGTCAACAAATGCTTGGCAAAAATACTCACATAGTCTTTGGTGTGTGTGCGAACTTTACTGAAAGTAGATTTAACCTTAAGAGCGACAAAATAATTAAATTAAATCCAATAAGGACGATTTGAATAAAACTATGCTTACAGCATTTGACATGATAACAAAAGGGACCCTCAGTGTAATTCTAGCTTTTTACCTTCATCTGTCGCTTCGTTTAAATAATTAACAACAGAAAACAATCTAAAAAAAAATTTCACTCGAAAAGAAATTATCAATTTTATTCTTTTACTGACAGATGAGACCGATAAATAAAAATTGCAAATTTAATTTGCGTTTTATAAAAACATTTTGACGATAGTCTTCCTCAAATATTTAGAGGCAACATAACAAAAAGTCGACAAATAGGAGAGGTCGACGACCCGTGCTTAGTAGCCTTGGGAGAAAACTGAAATTCTGCGTTAAGTTACAGCTGAGAAAGAGGTTGAAGCAGAGTTTTTAGTTTGTTTTTTTTTGGGAAAAATTTAAGTATTGTTTTGACATGATGTAGTTTAATTAGTTTATACGTCTTGGTAAGAAATGATTTCCTTAACAATAAGGTCTCTATAGCTACGATCTCCTTTAGAATTGTAACTAAACCTATTTCTCTTTTCGTTCAACAAAAATCTATCATTCACATTCAGTGGAATTTTCGATTATTTGCCTCTAGGAGAATAGCACCCGAAAACCTATCATTTCCGGTTCATGGCCATGTTCGAGTGATTTCTGCGCGTCAACAAAGGATTTTCCGCTTCTAATCTTTTCAATCCCTTTATATCTTGTGTATGGAGAAGCAATGTTGAGCCAAGATCTGCGTCGAAGGGCTCTTCGATCAGATGACGCAGTGGAAGCAATAACCCGATTAAAATTTTGAGACTCTTGAAGAGCTTCGTCAACGCTTGTGCATCCTGTAGAATTTAGAGTGCACTTTCTAAGTGTTTCGGTAGTAACCTTTTAATTTTGTCCACTTTTTGAAATCCTCATTTCTTCTTATTTTGCTTCTTTCTTTCTCCTCGTATTTAAATTTTTATGTAAAATGGTTAACTTGGAAAAGTTTAAGCGACTATCATGAAATCAGTATATCAGCCCCTCGGTATTCCAGATATCGAATGCAGGTCTTCAAGTTAGATACAGAGTCTATTTGAATACATTAATTTTTTTTCTGAGGGTAGAAATTGAATGTAAACTGCAAGCCCTTATAGATTTCTGTAAGGACTCGATTGAAACCAACTGTTATGGTAAGAATTTGTACCAAGGACCGACCAACTTCAGTTTGAGTTTTTTGATTAAAAGCTTTTCGAATGATAAACAATCAAACCTACTTTGAATTTCTCAGAATCTTAAAGAGCTTTTATTAAGATCGACTCTACCGTGCTCTATGGTGAGATGTTGGCCAATTGCCGAATTCTTGTGAATCAGCAGTGCGTTCTTTACCACTTTTCATGTGAACGGACTCAATACGTGCAAAACGTTTTGTTTAGTTTTAAGTTATTTACCTGTATGGTTGTGAAAAGTTTTTAATCAGTACCTATTTGTTTTTTTAGTATTTATAGCCTTACAATCTTGTCATTTTTTGACTTAATAAGGACGTAATGTTGACGTCGAAACGTTATTGGAAGTATTTTATCGCAAATTTTTATAGTTAAATACTGCTAATTCCAATGATAATAATAATGATAATGATAATGATAATAATAATGATAACAATAAGAAACATTAATCGACCACTCCCCCAATGGCCTGGGGGTTTTCAGGGCCAATATACTGTTATAGGCGAGACTTTGGGGACTTCAAGTAAGTAAGACATGACACACACATGCCTGAATGCTTAAAAAACATTTTGACGAAAAACACTTAAAATGTTTTTCTAAATTCTACTAGAACGGGGTTAAGAACGAATCAGAGACTTCTTGCCTGACACAGGCCTGTAAAGAGGTGAGTATTCTTGTTCATTTAAAACCCTGCGATAGGCTAAAACCGTATGTCCAATACATTATTAAGTTTTCAAAACGGCGCGTTCGGATAAAACGCACAAAGTAGTACAAAATCTGATAAAGGACACTTGGCAACACCTCGCCCGAGTCGGTCCGAAGGTGTTGTCACGTAACAAGGTTTGGTTACCGACCAATTATTTCAAGTAAAAGTGAGATAAAAAATGATTTACAAAAATCAGCCCAGGCTTGAAAAGCAGATTCCCTTCGTCTCTTGCCGAATGTTCATTCTCGGTTGATTTTCTGCTACCAGTATAATATTTCAATGTACCAGGGGCACGAAGATCTTTCTGACTATATAGTTCATTTTCAAATCAATGATGATTTTTTCTTCTAGTGTCTTGCACCTTGTAACGCGAAAAGGACATTTCCAGACGAGAACTCATGCAAAGCAAGCTGTGTAAGTAGCATTCTCGTTTCCACATCCATTTATAAATGTTTGAGATATCTCTGAATTTCTTGTTTGTTGAACACCGAAATAAAACTGATTGGCACCTCGACAAAAATGAAATTCACAACCGTTCAATGGGAGCGAAGAGCGAATTTTAGCCCTTCAAAGTGACTGGGTTATGATTCTTGTGTTAAGTTCTAAAGGGCTCTTGGACCGAGAGTGCCTGGTGCGATTATTGTTATATGCTAATAGTATCTCTTATTACTTTTGGTCATGAATGGGTCCTTGCGAAGTTTCCGGGAAAATGAGACGTAGAGGGATGGTGAGTGGAGGAACCTTCACTAGACTAGCAACCCATTTAGGATGATCGTTTATACAGTAGTGTTTAAAGCCATCGGTATCTCATTGCAGGATTGTGCGTTGTGTATTTGGATTACAACGCTTTTCTGAAGCTTTAGTGCTTATAACTGGAAAGAGTCGTATTCCGTTAGCACCTCCCAGAATTTTCTCCATTTTCCGTGAGTTAGACTCTTTTCACTTTTGTGATGATACCAACATAAACAATCATCATGAAACTTATATAACTAATGATAGGGCTTTCTTACCCACTTTAGAATGAGCACTATGAACTTTTACCTCAACGGCCTAATCTAATATTAATATTTTTATTTCAGAACAACGCCAATAGTTGTTTAGATAGTTGTGAATTCCTGACACGGCTGAAGAATTTCCAGTCCTTATCTAATGGTGATGGATCCTTACTACCAGTTCCTGGGCCACTAAATGTGACAATTTTGAATTTCACATCACTCTCCTTACAGTGGTCACATGTCCTAAACTCAAATGGCACTCCTGTTTACTTAGTTGAAATAACTTCTGATGGTGAGGTATCCAGATTAGGTCCGTTCTATCCGAACCAGGTAATTTTAATTTCTATTTAAGGTCCGTACTGTAGGCTAAGGAGCGAAGCGCGCTGGCCATAAATCCGAGCGAAAAAAAGATCCATAACTTAATGTGCGGACTGAGAGAACGAAGATAGCAATGTAGTTATTATATGTCTTGGTTCAAATAGCGGGGGGAGATTTCAATTGAAAAAAAATTTGAACTAAGAGGGCAGTACTGTAAAAGACGGCCCACTAAATTGACAAATTTACCAACTCGACCAATTTACCAATCATAGCACACGTTCTAACTGAGAGATCTATTATGATTTGATATTGGTACTTAAAGGATTGTGGGAGTCTTAGTTCAACACAAAATTATGCCTTTCTTTTCTACTCAATCTTGAACAAAAACTAATTAAAAAGTTAAAATGATTTATACTTTAAATATTCGCTGGGAAATATTCAATATGCTTTAAAAACAAGAACAAAACTGGACTGAACAAATGGATGAAATAAAATTATTAGCGTAAAAGTCCCATTCAAATTTTCTTGTCGATCTGCATTTTGGGAAGAGTCCATTACGTGATGAGTTTCCTAACAAAAAAGTTATATCATTGTCATTATTAGTATCATAACTGTTATTATCAAGTAGAGCGCTTTTCGACTGGGTGTCGTAAAAAAATAATAATAATAATTTCAGCTGCCAATCATACGAAAGGAAAATGCCTTAGTGCCAATGAGAATTCAGAGTAAGAACAAGCTAACCAAGCAAAACGCGGGAAAACGCGGGCGACCAAGTCGAGATTGGTGTTAGTTTTGCATCTGATTGGTTGATTGAGTGGCACGAGTTTTCTGGACCAATCGCAGAGCAAAGTAAAGCAAAAACAAAGAAATCCTGGATTACTTTTGACACTCAATTGAAAATTACTTTAATGATCCTCAATGCTATCCTTGTTGATATTTTCTTCCACCGTGTTCAGCTGAGACTGTTCATTTTCTGATTCATGAAATTTAACGTTTCTTTTATCTTTAATTTCCTTCTTTCGCCAAACCTCCTTTTCGAGAAATAATATTCTTTTTGTTTTTTATTTTCATTTTTAGGTCATCGTCGAGTCAAAGGTGATCTTCACCTTTAATCACCCGTGTACCTTTACTCCAGATATAAACCAGCGCGCTGAGTTCAAAGATATTAATTTCTCGTTTAGAGTTGCTGTTCTGACAGAAAACTCTTCTGTTAGCTACGGAATCAAGTCAAATAGCATCGGTAAGTGAAAACAAATGTTTAGGCCACTACGGGAACGAAACCCATGTCGTGGGTTCAACTCCCATTCAGGGAGAATTTTCGTAATATCGCCCATCTTTCCGCTGAATCGTTTACACCGTTCAGTGGATAACACAAAATACAAGGTACTGCCATTTTAATTTTTAAATGTTTTAAGTTCCGTCATCTGCTATTTGGTGTCCTTCTTCATGTTTTCTAAAGCCTCTCATTGACGTGGGCCGGAGTCTTAAATCTTCAAATCTGATTTGGAAATCAAGCGCTCGTAACCGAACTAGCTAGCTAACGACCAAGGTGCGGATTTTTTCCACACCGTACGCAACGAAGCGGAACAGTAAACCGGCAGAAAGATAAAAATACGTTATTAGTCATAACCATTAGCTGCTAATGGTTATGATTAATAATAGTTAGCTGCTTTACTTTTTACTACTCATTCTACAGAGTTGGACAGTGTAATCGGACAGTTGACTGTAATCGGACACCTGTAATCGGAAAGTTGAAGTAACCAATCAAACCAAGTCCACTCAGCCAAATCCACCAATCACAGAATTAATCACAATAACCATAGCAAGAACCACGTATCCTAAAAAAAATTAAGGAATTTCCAAAATGGAGAAATTTTTTTCCTTCAGACATTGTCTCTACCAGAGATATTTGACCTAAATGTATTTGTTGCTTTCGGAAACTGCAACGGTTAAGATTAATTGGTAACAAAATTTGTTGTCGTCCAATTCTGTCTGTAATCACGAGTATGATTGCAGACCGAATTGGATTCCTCTCGGTCCTATTACTATTATTTATCGGTCTAGGTTGGTACGTATCGAAAAAAAACTGTGCAGTATGATTGATTAGTTTACTTTTCCAGAGATTGTCTGATACTCAATCAAGTCGCGTTCCATTTTGGAAAAGCTTTCACTCAGCTTTATCAAATGTCTTTCTTTATTTGTACCAGCCTTCCCAAAGCCAGATCCAGTAACAAACGTGACTCTGGATAGCCTAGTGTACGATGGTAACCAAGATGGAAATAAATTACTGATGACATCTTCTTGGAAAGCACCTAAAGGTTAAACATTTGAGGGAATTCTCATTTGAGTTCTCTGGGCTGAAATATGTTGTTTTTAAACAATAAGAGAAAAAAACTGTCATCGATTTTTAAAGGCCCACAGTAACTTCCCCATTTTCCACTCTTAAACAAATTTAAAAATATGAAGTCATTCCGGAAGCCCTTTGATTAAAAAGTTCTCTTCTCAATCTAATCTTCTCTACCATCGATCGCCTCGTTATTAGAACTGCATTCCTTTTATGTAAACAAATCTCCCCTACTAGAGAATCCAAGACGGGCGTACACTTCCGAAAATACGATTTTACGGCATTTTTTAAGATAATAAAGGCCAAAACAGGGCTTGCTAACAGAAACGGTGTTTTCGAATTTTCTATTTAGGACAAGAAAATATTGTTTCAAACTATGCCTTGCGTTGGAAACAGGATTTTCAGTGCCAGGGCAGCATCCTTTTTAGAAATGGAGAAACCACAGGGGTAAGCTTATGAAACAATCAAGCATCTTTAAAATTACCGAGGAGTATTCACAAAAAAAGAAAGAAATACTCTTAACTTAACGACCGAACTTCACGACAGAAACTCAAGACATTCAGGTAACATCAAAAGAAGATGAACTGCATCACAAGCATGGTCTCTCGTAAGATACATATTCTTCTTGTTTACCCCTTAACTCCAATGAGTGACCAAGACAGAATTTCTCCTTACAATATCAACACAATATCAACCAGATAAGTGATGAGAATAAAGCAAAATATCAATTTGGGGATAATTAATACTAAGTTCTCTGAACTAACATTATAAGAATTGTATTGTTGAAAGTAAGGAGAATTACAAATTTGATCTGGGAGTTAAAGGGTTAACAATCAACCCCCTCTCATGTGGGAGCCGCGGTGGTCAAATGGTTAGCGCGCTGGGCCTTGGTCAAGAGATCTAGGTTCGAGACCTGGTTGGGTCAGTGTGCTGCTTTCTTGGGAAAAACATTTTACTCTCACCATGCCTGTCTTCACCCAGGAATATAAAAGGGTACTGGAGAATTTTTAGGAAAGCCTGATGAAATGCTTTTTTTTGGGGGGGGGGGAGAGAGGAGGTGTCCTTGCAATGGACTGGCATCCTATCTAGGGGGAAGTATTGCTAACCCTAGTTACTTTATTGCTACAGACACAGACTTTTCTACCTTCTAATACAGTAACTTCCAAACTGAGAAGTCATGTCGGTAGAACTAACAATTTTTGACGTTAAAAAATACTTACAGACTGTTGACTGACTTGAGATATAGAATATATAAATAACTACTTGATTTTAACTGTATTTTTTTCAAATTTAAACCCATAATTTCTTGACTAGTGTTTCTTTTGCAGTAGTGATAAAATTGATATGCTAATAATAATAATGATTATAAGCTATGGTAATGACACTGTCTCCACAATAAGGGCAGCTCTCGTCGCAGAACACCCGTAATCTTTTAGGGACGTATAAACGTCTTAAAATGAGCCCTTTAATATCCATTTTTCATAGCCTCGGACACGATACACTATGTCCCTGTATGCAAAAATGAAGAAATGTACCCACGAGCTCCAGGTAAGATGGAATACACTGTAACCTTCCATCGAGACAAAGATACTAATTTTGTGAAATTTCACGATTCACATTTCCTGAGAGCGACGAGTCTCATTCGGATCAGAAAAATGAAAATGAAATGACGTGCGATTTCTGTACAAGTATTCACCTTTTTTGTCAAGCATTTTACAGATTGATTTTATATCATTCTTTTTAACAATTATTTTTATATTAATAAAGTGAAAAACTAAAATGTTATTCTCATCTTCTCTATAAGAAGATAGAGCTCGTTTCATTGTACTCTTCGGCTGTTCTGAGTTTAAAAATCTTCATCCTTAAGTTTTAACTTTTATCAATGTCCTCGTTTTTGAAGGTCTTTACCATAATTGGCTGCAGTGTGAGCGTTCCAGCAATTTTAAGATACACTTACCCAGGTAAAGTAATCACTTGTATCATCTGAAATATAACCATAAATAAGCTGACTGGGACCGTAATAAATTTTTGACGTCATTTCCAGGTTGTCAAAACATCACAAGTTTTCCAAAATACATCTGCTACGAATGTGAGTATTCTCTATAACTGATACACTTAAATTCTTGTCAAAATTGTTTTCAAATATGCCAATGCCGCCATTTTGAATCCTGCTCGAATCTGGGCGCTCCACTTATTATGTCATAAGTAATTACTAGGAAGTCTAACTCTGCTTTTCCCCATCTTTTGCTCTCCTTCTGATGAACGATTTGGGGCCACACAAAAAGACTTTCTTTACTCAAATAATAACTTTGTTGTGATCTCCAGTGCAGCGGTCGATGGGAATTGAGGATTGTGGTTTTGGTACGCGAACTGGTTACCAAGTTATCCTTTCAAAATGGCGGCTCTCAGTGCCTCACTTTGACACATTTCAAGATATCTTTGTTACTTAATGAAAAGTAGTAAACATTTCCTGTAATTTCAAGTGGCAGTTGTTAATTAAGCAATGCCTCCAATACCAATGGTCTACATTTTCTTTATCCTATCCGCCCATCATCATGAAACTACAAATTTACTGAATGGGCCGGACATTTAGGCTTTGATAGACCTACTCCGCAAATGCAGGAAGAATAATCTTAGGGTTCATCATATTATCACTCATCATACCAAAAAGGTTATTGTAAAGATGCAGATAGAAAAAATATGTACTTATGCTATATTACTACTCAAGTTTTTCTTTACTACAAACCGCCTTCCACAGTTGACCCTCCAGATGCGCCAGTGGCAGACAGGAAAGTCACTAACATCCGTCTCGCAGAACCTATGACACCTGCACCGGACTACAGATTTTATGCGAAGTTTACCTGGAATCCGCCAGTTTACCCTTACAAGAACATAACTGAATACTTGTTTTTATTGTTAAAGCAACCTGGAAATCAGTATATGAACTTGGGTAATGAGAAACTTGTAAGTTTTTTCATTTGTTTATTCGTTGATAATTTTAAATTGAACGTCAAAAGATATCTAGACTGTCGTTGTTTTTTTGCTTAAATTCACTCTCTGGTTGTTCCCGAAAACGTGCCCATCTGTTTCAGCCTACCAGATGCACGACTTGGTTACTCGCGTTCTCCCGCGCTTTAGGCTATTTTTTTGTGAGTGCTCATTTATCCTGTTGTGATTTGGCCTTGGTTGTTTTACAAAACTTGATAGTGAAGAGTGCTCTACGATGAGATCAATAATAACTACAGCTAAAAACTACAACCTCAAAGGCGCAGGAATCACAAATAAGTAAATTATTTAAAATAAGTCAATGAAAAAATTAAACTTCTCTTTGTTTTTTCAACTGCAGCTTTCTAATAGCAAGACCGTAAGTGATCTTTTGCCAGGGACGATTTACAAAGTTCAGGTGAGTCGAAATTCTACTTGAAAATGTTTATGTTACTCTGCAAGTATAATCAGTAGGAAAGGTTCTTAGGGGGCAAAATCCTAGAGTTTGACTTTGGCTCAGTACTTTTCAGCCTTACCAAAATTTTCCCTCATATTTCGAATTACATACTTCGACAATTAGCAGTCTGATCGAATCAAATATGTTTTCCCGAACTAATGGTTTACGCTTTTGAAGAAGGTTTCCTGATCAGCTCTGATTAGTGAATAACAGTTAGTATTTCAAGAGAAAGCTATTTCATTAGTTCTCGGTGCCTTTTCTCCACAGGTCTATCCAGTGTTTCAAGATAGAAGGCCTTCGTCAGAATTTAGTGATGCAACTTTTACTACTCCGGGTGAGTGATGAAAAAATGAAATAACTTGAATAGGAAGTGGGAAGGTAAAGGCACTGGGGATTTTGAAAAGCTGCTGCCCATAAATAACAACATAAATTCAATTGCATTAACTTTGTAATAGAAACAAGCAAAAAAGTAAAGGGTAAACTTAATGAGCACCTGGCATAACAAGAAAAATTAACTCTTGAGCATAAGTATACGGCTTTAGCCTATATAATTTCCCCTCTAATTTTTGGAATCGCTTGAAATCGATAAAAAACACCTTATTTTCACGAGAGGTTTAGTTTTCCTTTTTTCATGAAAATTGTTCAGACACCGGGCATATCGCCATAGGGTAGTTTTATGTGCAAATCAATTCCTGTTTGGTTTTTTTCCTATTTTTTATTTCACTTTTTTTTGCTATGACAACAATATTGCAGTTTGGTGTAGTTCAACTTATTTGTTGTATTCTTTTTTTTAACGCTTTCATATATGATAAATAGAGAGCAGCTATTCAGAGATTGCACCGAAACATCTGCGAATTGTATTTCTTTACATCATGTTCATTTAACAAATCGACAATTTTGACCACTGTTTTGACGAATATCGTTGTCCAGACCATACCAAACCATTGGTATTTTTTACGACAATACCGACGTCAAATAAAACGATTCTTTCAGTGCGTGACCATTGTGTTGACGCTAGCAGCGTTGTCCGTACTTTGTCTGTAAGGCAAATTGGCCAATCAGATTGCGACAATACTGCTCTGCATCTCAGGGCCCCCGTCCCCCATTACCGCGTAAAATGAAAAATTGAGGGAAGTTTTATGTTACGTATCGCCGATTTTGGCGTTTTGTACGAAAACACTTTTTACCATTCAAGATGATTAAATATTTTTTACTTGACACTGATTTTGTGGTTTCTCTTTAAAGAGCAGAATTTTGATTTTTTACTATCTTGCAAGTCACACAGACCGAAGCTATCCGATCATTCATAGATAGACATTTTGCACGAGTCCGAGAGCAAAGCATAACAATTTACTTTTGTTTGGCAAGCGAAGCTTTTCATTTGGCCTGAGGAGGAATAATTTTATCCGCGTTTTATTCTTCAAATTTATCCTTATACAGGAAGCTATTTTTGATGCAAAATACGCTCAACTTATAAAACGAAAAGTATTCAGGTTACCGGTAGTGCATGATTATTTTTTATCTTGCAGCCTGCTACTGCCCGGGAATAAGTTGCGGAGAGAAAGAGATCGTAACTTCTCCAGAACAGTCGACCAATGAATAAAGCATATTAACTATGCTTAATATTGGTATTATATAGTGTGGTCGCTTGATTAAACAGATTGAAATCTTGTTAAACTGATTAAAAGAATTATATCAAATAAAGCAAATTATGAAATCAGTAAGCGATCGCATCTTTGATAAAAACCACCTTAAAATCTAAATACCTAAAACGATCTTGGTTTTTTCTAAAATAAGAAAACAACCGATAAGTTATAAGTTTTGGAGGGGAATAATTATGTTTCATATCATGCGCCACTTCAAAATCACAAATTTCGGTTTTTTGAGTGTTTTTTTTTTAATTTTTGCTGACGCTTAACGGAAATTCTCGGAGGTAAAACAATTTTGTTTTTGCCTCTGTGTTGTCCCAGTCTCAGTCTTGTTATTTCTCCTGTTCAGTACAACATAATTATTAAAGACAGTTTGGTTCGACCCAATTGATTTGATGTGACGTGAATTTTGTAACATCTTGTGAAGACTTGAGCGAACGACACATTCATCACGTTTAGTTTTTTGAGTATCGTTGAAAATCACAAGGCAAGGATGTTTTAAAGAGGAGTCAGAAAGGAACTTAACCCTTCAATCTCATAAGCGTGCAACCCTAAGTTAAGGCCACTCCCTTTTCGAGCGATTTTGGGAGCGCATGTACTTAAAGGGTATACCGCATTTCTAGTGACGGACAGGTGTCGATCAAATTTAGAATCAGCTGACTTCTTCCTCTAAATCAATTCAATGTTTGACCTTTGCAACTATTGGATTTCCGTAAAATTGAATAACCGACTTACTTATTAAATTTGAAAGTGATAGTAAAAACATTATAAAAAATTTCCAATGAAAGTATTTTCATGGATTCAATAACTTGTATTGGACTTGATGCGAATGACGTCCTTAGAGTCGATCCATATGTCATTCTGGCGTTTCAAATTGAAATTTTCATCGTGATGGACCAACCAACTTTAATTAGAATTTCGTTGTGTTTGCTGAAGTTTAAATGTAGTGATCTTGGATCTTGTTTTCAATATTACTATGAAGAAGAGGATTCCTCGTTGAAAAAATTGCCAACACTGTGAAATGTCTTTGACAATGTCAATCTTTATTTAAAATGAATTATAATCTCGAAACATTGCCCGTTGAAAAAAACTAAATGGTTCCATATTCCGTAGAGTGGTATACCTTTAAATGGTAAAAAAAATGCAAGAGTTAGATGTTTGTTTCTCATTAGTTTCTTGTCGACAAAGCATGGCTCGACCTAACATCGTGAAACAACTGACAATAACAATATCTTTCTCCTTGCTGTTATACCAGGTGTTGATCCAAACGAAGTGAAGGTAACCCATTTGACCGCTGGCCAATTCACCAAGTCTTCAGACGGTGGCAGTTTCAGTGTTCCTATATCATGGGAAAAGCCAATTTTTAACTACAGCACGCTTGTCTCTTACACATTTCGGTACAAGATCGGAAGCAAGAATAGCACAGAGGAACTGATGGTAAGAAACTGTGTATTGAAAACTTTAAGACTAAATAAATATTTGCTTAAATTGGCACCATTATATCGACTGTTAGCATGAAAAACCAATGCTATAAAGAGGCGAAAGAAGGCATCATATACACGAAAGATCACTTAACACCATCAAAAGATTGACCCAGACAGATTGGTGTTGAAGCCATTACAAATTATTAATGGGGCCTATCACTTTTCCCGAAAAATTTTTACGCAAATAAATACGAGACCCCTTCATCTATGATTTCAAATCGTCGACCAAAGAATTCTTTTAGCCCTAAATAAGGTTTTTTTATTACTTTAATTTTATTGATGGATACAGCAACAGGAGTATTCTCCAATTAATCGAGGATTTTTCAGTTTCCGGAACGAAACTTTCCGACATCGACTCTTTGACAGATTTCTAAACCACCTTGTTATGAATAGTCAACAGAAATTGTTTTTTCTTTGCCTGGCAAAGGACTAATCATAGCATTTTTCTCTCTCGTTTTTAATTTGGATGTTTTAAATGATATATTTTGGTTGCTATGGATACTAGTGCTTTCTCTGAAGTACCTAATTGTAATATAATGGTTCTGACTCCGAACTCTGGAAATGTTTGCCAGATAGCATCTGTTTATGTGACATTTTAGACACTATTAATATAAGCTTATGACCTATCGTTTTGAAAAATATCTTTTTAATGGCAATTTTAATCTTGTTTTCGTAACATTGATTTAGTTTCCATTCATTGCTCATTTTTGTAAAGCGACAGGAGCTTGTTCATCCATTTACCTTTATTCTAATATTTATACTATGTTTATTTATCAGCCTAACGAGACATATTTCAACATTTCTGGAATACTGCATGGTAAACTGATCAGATATTGGGTAAGCTTATGTCCACGGATTTGTCCATTCGTACGGGGTGAAACTAGGAATTTCTGATGGCAGAAGGGTTAAAGATTTTTACCTGCCTCTCAACGACAATTCCAACCTTAGTTGAAGTTCAAGTCTTCCATATCCTGGTTGTAAGCCCTGCCAATCTAGTGGCGAAGAACTCGTTGGCGTGTAAATCAATACACTCAGTAAACATTTCTGGTATTATTACTTCAACAATTTAAACGAGCCATAGAGTAGTTATTTCATCTGCGATTCTTTTCAGGTAACGCCGCATTACCAACACAACTGGATCAAAGGAGCACAAGTGTATGGAAACATTACAGCGCCTGGTGAGAATAAGAAAAATACATGAAATAAATGGATGGGTCACAGATGTTAGGCTATTCCTTAAAATGGATATCAAACTTTTTTCAGGAGCGTGGTATTAGAGTAAAGAATGATCGAGCAAGGAAAAGAATATCAGTCTGACGTCCCCTTTTGTTTTTAGTAATTAACCTTCCAGGCGAATCTGTTTTTCTAACTAACTTTGATTGATTGATTAAGCTCTTGGCTCCCTGTGGAGTATAATTTCCTTCCTTAATGTGCTTCTTTCAGAGGCTGCCACTACCAGCTGGTGCCATGTGTAGTTCCATGTTTTCACGTCTGACTTTATTTATCTTCTCCACGTATTCTTGTATTGATACTCCGTAGTAGCTTACAAGTTGATGATGATTTTGTATAATGTCGAAGATAGCCCATATCATTTCCAGTTAGGTCCTTTTTAAGCCACAATCTTTGTATGAAAACAAAATACTTGAAGGTGTTTTTGAATGTTTGCAGTTCCGAGTAATGACGACACCGAAATCAAAAGCCTAAGGTTCGGAGAGTTCGTGCGTGAGCTCGGAACCAGCAGATACTCCATAAATGTCACGTGGACAGGACCAGCGTTTAATTTCACCTTCATCTACTACAATATCGAGTACGAATTGACGGGATACCAGTCAAACAGACCTGCAGTACAGATAAATGTGGTATGGTGACTTCCACTTGTCTCGATAGGGTTTATTGTACTCATATTCTTGCTAATTGCCCGTGTTACGGGGTTTTTTTTAAACTATATGCGAGATTTCGAGGCTGTTAAATGCGTTGTACGCTTTCGTTGAACGTGCGCTCTGTTTCAGAAACTACAAAGGTCAAAATTTCATGATTTTAAGGCAAATTTAGTTTATTTCATTTATCGTCTTTATTTTCAACGAAAGAAAGGAAATACTTAGTGTTCGTATAATTGAACCTTTACGAGAGTCTTTGATAATAATGCGTCGCTTGTCAGTGTGACAAATCGTGGAAAGGGGTGAGTCACCTTGGGGTGAAAATTGATAATTCTACCATTAATTTTGAGCCGGTGATTAAAATGACTTTCTAGAGTTGTTGGCGGCTAAAATACTCGTGGGATGCATCTGAACAGCTTTGGTGTTGGTTTCAATTCATTTCTTTTATGAAAAATGATCCTTTTCTGATGCACCATTTGTACTTATTTGCATGTAGGAGAAACCGAAGATACTTTTGTCGGGAATAAGACCTCAAGAATTTATAAGGATTAAGGTAAGCTAGATTTGAAGAATTATGTGTCATTTTTGTATAAAACCCCAAATTTTCTTGGTTTCTGGCTGTCATATTCTGGTTCCATCTTCAGTATAAATATAAAAATGCTTAAGCGAATAAAGTAGGTAACAAGGAAAATGTTTATAAAGTAAATTGTTCAAATGGCGGTGTCATTAATCCAATATTTCAAGTTGACATTGGGTTTAATTTCAACTTTAACAAGTGCTTTTGGGCTTAAGTCTTGAGTGTTCTTATCCGTTGAAAGTTATTGGCAAACTTCCTCGTTTCTCGGGATTTCTGGGGGACGTGTTATGGCACATATTTTGGCACTGTCATAGAAATTCATCATATTTCACATGCTGGTTCTTTGTTTTTTATTTTGAAGGTTAAAGCAGTGTTTTCCAATCCCAACGTCAAAGGGAAAGAAGCAACACTCTCGAAAACTGCCCCAGGTAAGTATAAGCAACAGGTTTAATTAAAGTATTTTTGTTGATTTGCTTGCCAGTTCGGATCATTTTTAGTAATTCTAAGATGTCATCAGCTTTTTTTCGGCTGTTTTGGTGATATGGACACAAAGATCAAACGTAATTGACTCAGGAAATGTAGACAAGATTGAAACCTTACGCAAAATACTGACTGAACGTCCAGAAAAGGCTACTTATGGAAAAATGCTGGACAAATTCCTATCTTACCCTTGTTGATGAATGTCACAAATCAATGATGGCGTTCGGCTTACAATCGAATCTTACAAAATGTTTCTGTTTCATTTTAGCGCCCGATCCAAGCTCACTAAAAGTTCGAAACTTTACCTACAACTCTCTCAACTTAAGTACTGTAAGGATTGAGTGGGAAAAACCGATTTTCAGTGAAAGTAACGTCACAACATATGACTTGAAATACAAACGAAGAGGGAATCCAGACAGAGAAAAGGAGTTCCACTTCGAGATTAAGGAGGTAAGACCAGAAAAGGTACTGCATATTTGAACCGACAAGTCTGGAAAATTGCCTTCAATGCTAAGTAGCCAGTATTTCGGCAGAAACTTTGGCAAAGGGTAAGGAAACAAACAGATAGGGCCATAAATGACCAGCGTCATGGATCACTTACGTACATCAGTGAGTCAGATAGATTCCAAACATTCGTACTGATGCGAAATTTGATTTTCAAAAATAATTTGCCATTTTACTAGGGGAGGACGTATTTTGCCATTCATGACTTAATCCCTGGCGACAGTCTAGTGGTAAAGGTAAGGAACCGATGTTCTGTACTTTGAGTCGTTGTTTTCGTTTATGTTTTCCGGGTCTTAAATGTGCCCTTGGAATTGTGTTGGGGTCGATTCATATCTTTCTTCGTCTTTCATGAATCCGTTCCTTTAAAAAGGAAATAGTCTTTGTTAAGTAGATTCTATGAGACCAAAACTGTTTGCAAAAGCTTCTCCTGCCCAAGTAGAGCATTATCCAGAATATTTGTCAAAACGATTAGTAGAGTATAACTTTTTTCAATTTTTAATGTCTTCGAAGGTGACGCCGATGTTTGATGCTACTGCTATCGCAGGAATCACTTTAGAAACCACTATAGAGCCTCAAAGTAAGAAACGAACAAATCAAATTAGGGCTTTTTTTACCTCCTTGTTTCATTTCACAGAAGTCGGTTTGAAGATATGTTTAGCCAGTAGTGAAGTTGTTGTATAGCTTGTTGACTCAACAATAAAAACTATTTGCTGAGCCAAAAGGATCAATATAAAAAGGACGATAGCGTGGAAACATAATCCTGCTCGAGCAAGAATCAAGAGAAATTCAGTTCAAATACAATTAACGAGAAAAAAGCTAAGGGTTCCCTTGTTTGTTCCAAAATCCCGAGTTAAAAGGTTCAAACCCCTTTCAAAATCTAACCGAGTACTTCCCAAAAAATATCGACAAAAAAAATAAGAAACCAAGATGTCATGCTTGAGGAGACTAAGGGTATGCGCAGTAATAAGTGCATTAAAATTTTGTATTGAGAGACAATTGACTGCACTCTCTACTTAAACGATAATTTTTCAGAATTTTATACAACACTTGACATTTGAGTATTCGTGCGTACTTGACGACAACATTTCTTCTATTTTTATGCTTTTTTTTCTTTTCAAAGAGCCTGACAACCAGGAAATACAAGTGCAAAACCTACGTGTAGGTTCGTTTCTCGAAGACGAAGAAAGCAACACTTTCAGCGTCAATTTCACCTGGGAACCTCCGCCATTCAAGTATAGCACTGTGCGCTCTTACACAGTATCTTATGAATTATACGGAGGTTATTCAAGGGAAAAGCTTTCTTGTCCACCGTTACAGATGGACAGTCGCCGATTAGGATGTTCCAGAAGTGGAGATGTAAGTTTGGATAAGATGGGCGTGTGTAAAGCAATCTGTTCGTCCTTTGTAAGAGACAACTAAGGATTTCAGTGAATGAATTTTCATTAACCCCACCGAAATAGCAGAAAGTTAGACAGTAGTTAGTTATACATATTTTCCATTTACAATAATATTGAATATAAGAGCGAAAGTAACGACGAGAACAAGAACGAAAATTTTAGCGATAGCCGTTTTCATAGCGAGGGCAACGCCATGTTATTTGTATTTGCATTTGCGTTCATTCAATAATCCTTTCATTGGTCTCCTTTTGTAGAGCTTGACATTTGCGCAGATATCTGGAATGTATCCACGCGAAAGCGTCACTGTGAAGGTATATTGCATTGGTTAAAGTTCGAAGCCCTTTTTTGCCAACAGCGCAAAACAGCATTGACGTTTGACGAAAACTAAAATTCATCAAGAAGTATTTTATCTTCAACTTCAAAAACTTGTGCAGCGTGGGACTCTTCTTTGGAGGCAAAATTTTTTAATACAACCAATAAATCTCTTGCATTAGAGAGACACCTCTTTGTCTTGACCACCTTCCCAGGGTTCCAGGGTGCCTCTCGAAGGCATTGCATGAATTGAGTAAAACCTAATCGTTAAATGTGTGATTTAAAATTTTTAGGTTACGCCCACTTACAACAACTCATACATCACTGGGGAAATGGCAGAAGAAATAGGAACTGCACCTCGTAAGTAAACTTTCTTTTGCATTTCACCAGTCAGTTATTCGTTCAACATTTTATTTCAGCTAATTCCTCTAAAGACTCTATTTAAGGATTACCATAATTAGCAATGTGATGAAAGTACCGATCGACGACTCTGTGTAAAACGAAACTTCTATCCCATAGTTTTAACTGATGCAAATGGCTACTGATCTTAACTTTGGCGATTTATATCCTGCCTGAAACAGAACCGAGAGAGGAGCTTGTTCAGGTTAATGGTTTGAAGTATGATGAGATTTTCCCGACTGCCAACAACACTTTCCGCACGACAGTAAGCTGGGAGAAGCCACTTTTCACCCACAGCGATGTACGCCACTACAGTTATAAAGTGGTGACCATAAATTCTCCGTCACGGAAAAGGAGGGAAATGCTTTCAAACACCATGATAACAACGGTAAGAGGAATGATTTTTATCAGATAAGAGAAAACGCCAAAATAGTACTTGCAATTACTCACAAGATGTGCCGTGAGGTCCATGCACTGTTCAAGGTAACTGAACAAAAAAGATCTCAGACTTGCTGTTTCTTAATTTCTACCTCAAATTTTCTGCACAACTCAAAAGGACATCAGGGAGAAGCGGTGGCTTTAGGGCTAGTGCATTGAACTCCATGTCCTGAGACCATAGTACTTCATTCTCACAGTGCTTTTCTCCATTCAAGAGCATGGATGAATATAACCTAAATGTGTGAAAAGCCTGGAAAAATGCTAGGGGCAACCTTGTGATAGCTTAGTATCCTATTCCCGGGGGGAGTAGAAATACTCCTCGTTGCTTCATGCGACAGAAACTGGGATGAGCACTAGATGGAAAGGCCACTTCGCTTGAGTCAAGAAGTTTCAAGACATTTAACTCAACCAAGATGCTAATGAAAATAGAGGCGATTTGAACCTTTTATCCTGGCTAATTTGATCACCAGGAAATTCTGGACGAATTTCAGAATAGATTGAAGCAGGCGCACTTGGCGATATTGCATGCCCATCGAGGCAAATTTGTCCCTTGAACTTGGTCCTTGGCTCTGTTCGAAACAAATTTTATTAACTCGAATTTTGGTGGCAGGTTAAGCTGCCAAAATGTGATTGTGCATACGCATAAATATGATTACGCATACTCATTTTCAAAAAATCCACTATTGATGACTCGCCGTCTATGCGGTTTCTCTTCCGTAGACTGGTACCAATGTTACGATCAGTGGGATCAGTCGAATCGATGGAGTCGAATTCCAGGTAATTTAGCATAATTCCTTCGCGTGAGCGAAGCTCAAGCTGTCTCTCCGCGCACAAAGGTTAACTGGTGTAAGAAAGTTAGTTATACGTGTAACCGAGATATTTAATAATAACTAGCATTGGATGAACATAGAAATTTCAAAAAATAAAGATCAACGATGTGAGTTTCATATGTAAGAGGAACATTGAGATATGGCTCTCCATTAGAAGGATAGTGGAAGTCTACTCGCAAAACTGCTAGGGGCTCTCTGTGGTAGCGGAGCTCTTGCTCGCAAGAGCTATAATTGGCGACAAAATTGTAGACAAATTGACCTTTTTAACCTCCTATTAATTTAGTTTTATCTCATTTGCCCTTGTTAAGTTAACCCATCGTCCCCTTCCCACCCAAATATGTGGAATCGTGATTCCATGAACTTTTAGCTAGATACAGGCACATTGAATAGGGGAGGGAAGTTCTTGTCAATGATTAAGAGTGTAGTAGAAACAGGAGTGTTATTCTACACATAAATAGGACTCTTCATCATGATGTGTCAAATCATTTTGACACTGATTGTAGCTTATTATGGAGTTTACTCACTTATTTGTGTCTTTTCAGGTTACTCCAGTATTCGTTGTGTCTGAGGTTACAGGTGCAGATGCCAAGATCTCGCTTGCCTGGAAATCCCAAACTGGTAACTGTTATATTTTTATTTTTGAAACGAGAGTAGCCGGGAATTTGGCGTCATCCTCTCAACTAATCAGACTCAAAACTAAAAGCAATCGCCATTTGGTTACTCGTGTATAATCTCGGTTAAAGTTTGCCTGTTTTCACCTTGACTTCTTGTTGACTCTTCGTGATTTAACTTATGATAAACTTGGTTTTGGTTTTGCGACACTCAGTCGAGAAGCATTCAAAGAAAATTCTATACAGCTTCATAGAGGAAGAATTGCTAAATTCATGTTGTTCTCTTGTCGCATTTTACGAAATCTTTCGAGCTCTTTCTTGCGTTACTGAAATATCTCCTTACATATATATTTTGCTCTTATGAAGTTAATAAAAGGTTCGACTTTGGCGACGATTACAGTGATTATGACGATGATGCTGCTGCTGATGACAAGGATGATGATGATGATCATTATTTTCAGATAAAAATCCTCTGTCTGATCCAATGACCGCAACTGAACTGGCTGGGCTTGTCATAGGAGTGATACTAGCTGTATTAATAGCAATAGCGTTACTCTTTTGGTGTTACCGCGAAAGACAAAGACAGCTTGGAGCTAAAGGACGTGTCTCTGGGTATGTTGATTTATCGTCTGATAAGTTTCATTTACTTTCCATTCATCTTTTATTCATTTATTTCTCGCCTTCGCAGCAAGAATGCTCTAATGATTGATCATTGGGAGGTAGATGGAGACTCAGTGACCCTGGAGGAGGAGCTTGGAGAGGGGGCCTTTGGAAAGGTGTACAAAGGGGTCCTCAAGGAATCTACATCACCATCACGGAGACTCTCCATCATGCGTCCCAAAAGCCCCATGCGTAGAAACACGCTCAAGGAAACGGAAGGACTTATTGTAGCGGTTAAAATGCTACATGGTGAGTTGAATTTATGTAATGTTCTCATACGTAAACGCCTTACACAAATGAAGAATATCACACCCCGCTGGAGGTGGTCAAAAGTCAAATACAATTATCATATTTCATTACAGGAATGGCAGATAACGATCAACGCAGAGAATTTCTCGAGGAGATACAGCTAATGAAAGCCGTAGGAACGCACAAAAATATTGTTAATATGCTGGGTTGTTGCACTGTGGAGGAACCAATGTTTTTGCTTGTTGAATATATTCCTTTTGGAGACCTTTTGCATTACTTGCGAAAACGTCGAGGAAAGGTATTCACCTTACGCAATGTAGCATCAGGGTAGAAAAATAGCTCACTTTCACAATCGTTTTTTAAATGAAAATCCCCATTTGATGTGGGGAAACCGTAAACGAATCCTGCGTCGAGGAGTCTGAGTCATGTGGATACCCTTTCGGTGTCATTCCTTCACTGAAAGACATGAGATCAGATATCTCGAGTAATAACTTGAGGCGAACCTCCTTAAGAATAATGGATAATTTGCGGAGGTGGGACTTTATCAAGTTGATCTTGATGTAAGTAATCCATTGCAAGATTTTGTCTGTCTCATTTAAAAAGTGGCGAATTTCGAAATAATTATGAATCTCAAGGCAAAATTCTTAGCTCCTTAAATATGTCTACGAGATGCATGAATTATGCAGGATTACAGATGATGGGTCGCTTAAATGTATGGTTGGTTTAGCAAAGCAATAGCTTGCAGAGTCTCACCGAATTAGGATACTTTTCTGCTTAGGTTAAGAGTTAATGACTGCTTAATGTGATTCTCAAATTTATTTTGCTTAGATTATTAATGAATGTTTAATCTAAGTATTAAATATATTTAGTTTATGAAAACTCGTAATCAATTTTAAGGATTGATGTGCTTCCGCGCGTTAAAAAGATCTTCTTTTGTCTTATTACATAGGTAAAAGAATATCTTGGTGACGAATCACGTGGTCCCTATCGTTCCACATACTGCGAAACATACGTTATGGACAAGCAGTTTGGAGAAAGAACAACAGTGGTAAGATAAAATAAAACCCCTCCTATCTTTCTGTGGACAATTTGTTCTGATAATTGTGTATTCATGTTTTATGTGTGGTAATGGAGAATTAGCCTTAAAAAAATTGATGAAAAACTAAAATTTTGAGCCCTAGAAAGTCAGCAGGAAAACAACTGCGTAAAGGGTAACAGTAACATCAAAGTTTTAACTGGAAAAGAGAGCAAATACGGCAAAGCCAAAAGAAATGAAAAGAGTTAGAGATCTTAGTATCATTAGTCAAAATCAATTTTTTTGCCAGCGCGTGTTTTTTAAATTTTCAAATAATGTTCAAGCACCAAACTGAACAGGTAAGAAGTATGGACGGAAATACGTGCTCTTTAATAGCTCAACCGTGATATCTTTGTGACCAATTAAGGATAGCAATCAACTTCATACTCCTCCTTTTTTTTTTATTTTTATACCTCTTCCGTTACGTCCATGCCATTTCCTTTCAGGCCACAAGGAGTGACCGCATTTATGTAAACAGCCCTGATGCACCAAAAGGTGACGATGGAAATATTCAAATTCTATCATTTACACAATCTGCCAAAACAGAAGAGAGAGGGAGAGAAAATGTAGGAATGAACCAAGATGAAGTTCATGAAGACGCGGAAGACGACGAGGAGACTCTCACCCCAGGAGACCTTTTAGCATTTGCCTGGCAAATCAGCGAAGGAATGGTGAGACACTGATTCGTTTGAGTCAACTCATCAACAATTTGATTGTTACCTTGCGCGAGGCATTAACAATTTGCTAAATTGTTCGGAAGGTCACAAGAATGAACATCGGACTATTCTCTAAAGAATATCACACTAGCCTTGAGTTAGCGAAGGATTAAGTGATTATTTTGAAGACGGTCACTAATATGCACAACAGAGTTTTCTATCTTTATTGCTTGACCCTTTAGTTGAGTTGTTCTACGCAAAAATGGACTAGCGTTTACGTGCTCGAGCGTGAGTTATTCTAGAGATTTCCTGGGTTTTCAACTGTCATCGAATGTTGGGACGGGTACGAATCCACCAGCAGGTCGGGTACGAACCAATACCAACCGGTTAAAATATTCAGAATTTGGGCACGAATCGACTGAGTGCAAACCATCCGAGGGTACGAAACGACTTGATATCAACTTGGGATGCGACTCCTTTAGCCTGCAACCATCAGAGAGATTGGTCTAGCTGTCCTATCATTAGAAGAACTTCACTAGAAACGCATGAATCAAATACTATTCCCAATAACAGATCTAAACATAGAAGAGGATATTTGGAATAAGCTCTTAAGGTCATCTGTAATAAAATTTTTGTATCACAGCAGTAGTTTTTCTTGCTTCAGTTGTTATCACTTGCCAAAAAATATGGAGCTGGGTCAGGTTTAGTCTTTTTGAGTGAATGCATTATTTCTACTGATAAAGAATTCTTGTGATGTCAGGTTGTTTCTGTCATGGATGAAGTCTCCTAAATTCTTATTTTTGCTTTTAATCTTGCAGGAGTATCTGGCAAGGAAAGGATTCGTGCATCGCGATTTAGCGGCCCGCAACGTTCTTGTTGGTGATAATAAGATAGCAAAGGTAGCAGATTTTGGTCTGACTCGGCACGTTTATGAAGAGAAGGTTTATCATGCAAAAAGGAACCGGAAACTTCCCTTGAAGTGGATGTCAGTTGAGGCCATCTTTGATCAAACCTTCACAACTCAGAGTGATGTGTAAGTTAGAGTTTTTTTCTAAAATGACTTTGATTTGTATAGGCTGTTCGTAAAAATTGAGTGACAATTGTTCATCTTATTTCAATAACTAGGTGGGCTTTCGGCGTGCTCCTGTGGGAGCTGGTGACATTAGGTAAGAAAAAAGTTCCCTGAAATTCTTTTCGTATATTGATTAATACGTTAGTCCACAAAAGCTAGTTGTGCGTAGTTTTTAAGCCAGTCCAATCCAACGTAAATATGAAAGAAAGCCAATAAGACCTCACAGTAAATAGGTATTCAGGACATTACTGAAATAATCCCTTTGGCATAGATTGGCAATTGGTTGTTTCTCAGCAATTGGCTGAACAAGTTTTGTTCCTGAGTTTCTGAGGCCATGGAGCACTGAAGCAAAACCAAAGCAATATCGTGTGTGGGCCGGACATGTAAAGCGGCAAAAAGCATTTAAGTAACACAAAAACAGCCTCTAATACACAAAACGTTTATTAAGAACGGAGAACTTCATTATTCATTGGCACAACAAACGATGCAGACATTCATCTTGAATTACAACCTTGTAGCAAGTCCTGCGAAACCTGCGAAACATAACAAACATTACCTAGCGAAGCAAAATTCTAAACAGAAACTATCTAACAACTTACCATGATGATGAAGGGACGGCATAACCGGGAGAAATCACAATTTTAGCATATCATAAACGAGGGTTTTATTACGTGCGATTTAAAAGTGAACAAGCTTCTGAAGCATTTTGGTCTTACGCATAGAACAGTGGACTGGACTTAACATTAACGACTTGTTGAGGAAGAGCCGCAACAGCGTTGTACTTGTTTTTGCATTTTTACGTTAATGACTTTACCAACTCATTTTATACTGAAATTTCTGAGGCGACCTCTTGCAGGTGGAACACCATACCCCACAGTAAACAACAGAGAGTTGCTTCGTCTTCTCAAAAATGGATATCGGATGGAAAAGCCAGACATCTGTAACGATGAAATGTAAGTAGCCATGCAGGTTATTTTTGTTCGACGTTAAAGCATTGATATCGCACATAAATCGAAATTCCAGTATTGCAAGGATCGAAAGGGTCTCAGTTTACAAGAAGAGAGCATGATCTGTCTTTCACCTGGTTTAATACCAGTTGAAAAAGACTGAAACGAAAAACAGTTTCTTCTTTAGCTGAGTTAAGCTAGGCGATGAAATCATTTCAATGGCTCAATTTTCGATTTTACTTTGCTCTTACTGTAATATGATTTTAAATTACAACAATTATCATTTAATCAAATTCATAAAATGCAATGGACGAGGAATTATCAGCATCTGAAGAAATTCTCAAGCGACTAACACCCCTAAATTGAACCACTACAGGTACAACCTGATGAGGGAATGTTGGTTGGAAAATCCCTTCGACCGACCAACTTTTACTCTAATCCGAGAGAGACTGGAGGAGATGATGCAGAAAGACAACCCATATTTGGACTTCAGCGTCCTCGATGAATCTCGGGATTATTACAATGTGCCGTCTTTTAACAGTTTAATAGATGAATCTGAAGATGATGTGTTTGAAAAAGAAGAAGGCTATAAGTTACTTGAAGAGGACCATAAAGAGATAATTATTGAAAAAGATCAGCCTATCAAGGACTCGAATAAAAACGAAATTGCTCCCTCGCCAAAATCTTCAAAGTTTCCAGGAGAGGAAGAAAATAACGAGCCAGTTGATGTAGACAAGATTGAATTTAACAACATTGCTTTTCAGAGTAAAGACTTCAATGATCTCAAAGAGGAAAAGGTAGATTTTGACGCTCTTGAAATGGCTCTGTATCGCCATGGCGGCAGGCATAGGAGCATTGCCCTTTAAGCAGAAATGATGAGCTAAGGGCACCCCGAGAACAAAACTCAAGCTGATCAAAAGTAAGAAAGAATCCAACAAGAAATTTGATATCTATCTTTACAATCATAGCACTTAAAATACTCCATATTTTGTTTCGTTTTCTCATGTTATTATTTTTTTTTGTCTGGTTATTTATCAGAGAAAAAATGTTTGCGAAAACCCTAATTTGCAGTTTTCATTTAGGTTTTTTCACTTATATTTTTAAGTGGATTTGCAACCTACAAGTTAAACCAATACCCTTAAGACAACAGCAAATTTTTGCATGATACTTTGAGAAAACTGTAAAAAAATACAAAAAATCCTCTTTTAATAATTAAAGTTGTTTGTGTTAAACTTTAAGAGAACATTTCTGAAAGCACGAGGAAAAAAGTTCAAAATTTGTCTATTATCGTACGCAGGATAGATATACTAGTCGTTCGAAGCTTAACAACTAAACAGGCTGATCTCGTTTTTTAATTCGGTTTTGCTTAAGCTCCTCCCTTTATTCAGTAGCTACCAGCGAATAGATTGCGAGTAGCGTGGCCAATCAGACCACAGCATCTGCCATAAACAATTCGTATTGCATAGCATTTAATTTCAATTTCTCTTTATTTTTCGGCGCTTAAGAGGCAGATGTTAGACAAACAGTTATGAGTCCCAATTTAACTGGGAGTGACTCTATTACTAATTTTCATGAATAACATCAGTCGTTACTTCACGGGTTCATTACGAAGCAACAAAATGACTAGCTCCCAGTTGGCTTGTTAACTTAATGGTAGAACACTACACCAGTATCGTAGAGGTCATCGGTTCAATTCCCGCATACAGGCTTGAAATTGTTTTTTTTCAGGCTTTATTTTTACTACTGCTAACGAAGTGTTCGTTACCGCGAAGATCACTCTCATGTTCAAATATTATTAGCGTAATCATAATTATCGATATCACTACAATTGCACGAGAAAATTATATTACCAGAGCAAGAGATTATAATCTCTTGTCCAGAGTTATGACGACAAATTTAGGAAAACGAAATTAAACTTTTTATAAATATTATAGCTAAACGAACCGTATACCAGTAACAAGAAAATACTTTTACAGTAAATTTAGGCCACAACTTTCCTTTTGTAGTTATCCAACTATGGAAAACCGAACGTAACCAGCAGGATCTGGTTTTCTATTATATTTAATAAATATCGCTATTAAGTAGTTTATAAAAGACATTATGAATATCCTAAAAATTGAGAAGGATTTAAATAAATTCTTCTCAATCCTTTTTGCTCTATTTTATAACAAAAAAAACTTAAATTTGCGAATAAAGATGTTTTGGATTGAAAAGTTGCGGTTTTTGCCAGACTTGAAATGATTGTCCAAAACAAAAAACAGAAATCTGATTTTCTGAGTGATTCCTGGGGGTAAAAGAGTAAAAAAACTCAGTTTTGATTTTGTACTCAGGGCCCTCAGATATATAGCCTTTTGTTTGGACAATAATTACCAAACATGACAAGGTTCCGCTATTTTTAAGATCAGTATTGTTAGAGACCTCAATATATACAAAAACAAAACTGCGTGTTGCACGGGAAAACGCTAGTGACCAAGTCACGATTAGTGTTAGCTTTGCATTTGATTGGTTGAGAGAGGATCGAGAATTCTGGACCAATCACACAGCAGAGAGAAGCAAATAGAACGCCAGCCCAGACTTCTTACGACTCTCTATTAGACATTGCTCTAATTACGTTTTCTAATTGATTTGTTGGTCAGGAAGACGATTTACGTTCAACTGATGAGTTGAAAAACGTAACCATTTAGAATTGAAATCTGTTCGTCGATCAACTTTCCTACAACTATATCAAGAGTGGCCACTTTTTGTGGTAGTTCTTCACCACCGAGTTCCGCCAAATTTGCTGCCAACTTGCGTGATTATTCAAAAATTCCTTTCTGAGAATTTGCCTTTGTTTGAGCTCGACAAAAGTTCTCGTTTGAAAACAATTAGAGCCGACCAGCCACGTAAACACGAATCTGTCACTACTGTGATAAGCTTCAGCGTAACAGTCACGGAGATCCCATAAGCAATTCAGCTCACACTATTTCGGCTAAACTCTGCCTCGTCATCACCCGCCTGGTTATTCGCCCGTCTGTTCTCTGTAGGTAATTAATTAATGGCAATTCAAATAAAGCCAGTTATTTTTCAGTCCAACCTCTTGCTTAATGTTGACTTAACGCTAAGGGATCGATTTGAGCCATTGTGGAACGCGTTTCTTATAGTTGGGTCAGTATCTTTCTGATAGCAGGCATTCCCAGGTGCCTGTACACGATAGTTTTCTTTTTACTCACTTTTCATCGACTGAACTAACTTCACTACTAATACGACTGATGCCAATAACTTAAACAGGTATTTTATCATGTTTGGCTTTGCATATATTTATATATATCAAGAATAACTGCATTTATAGAGGATAAATTAAACAAAAATGCATTACCTTTGACAGTCTTATACCAAATTGTCTGAGGGCGTCATTTTGCTTCGATTTTTTCATAGCCAAAGGTAGCTCGTTCTTGATTTAGACGATGAGTTTATTTGATGAGGGCAAACCGCGTGAAAAAAGACCTCGCTAGGAGTCAGTAAGGGGAGGGATTCTTAGTGTGTTGTGTTAGCTAATGGTTCCGTTACCTGATGTAAGTTTGTAACAACAATCAATACAAAGGTGTCCATACCGCAATAATGTGTTGAGGCTTGCTGCAATTAGCGTATTTCACTTTTGATTTTTAAAAATTGCAAACAGGTGTGACATTTTAATGGTTCCATTACCTGATATCAGTTTGTAATAACAATCAATACCAAGGTGTCAATACTGCAGTAATGTGTTGAGGCTCATTGCAATCAGCGCATTTCACTTTTGATTTCTAAAAATTGCAAACAAGTATGTTATTTTGATGGTTTTATCACCTGAGTCAGTTTGTTATAACAATCAATACAAAGGTGTCAATACTGCAATAATACTTTGAGGCTTGTTACAAGCCGCGCATTCAACTTTTGATTCTAAGAATTGCAAACAAGTATGTCCGGTTTTGATGGTCCATTACCTGATGTCAATTTGTAATAACAAGCAGTACCAAGGTGTCAATACGGCAATAATGCGTTGAGGCTCGTTGCAATCTGTGCATTTGACTTTGATTTCTAAGAATTGCAAACGATTTTGTTATTATAGTCATAAATGATCCAAATTTGATTGAGGAAGTTTGCCGATTCTAAAACTTGAATCATTCGGTTGTGCTTTAAATTTCAAGTAGAAACGAAAGTCATTAGATCAATCATTAATACACAGAAAGCCATAATTCAAAGAAATTAAATTTCATACTCTGAATATTTATGTCGTCCTCTTTAGCATTATTATAATGCTAATAGATATAATTTGTCGTGAGAGAAAAGAAAAATGAAGGAACCAAAGATGGAATTTATTGCCTTGCATCAGCCATATCTTAATACAGTGCTTTATATTTAACCTCAATATGCACTTTATCATGAGTGACGTATTAAGCCGAAAAACAAAAGGAATCAAATCACCGGCAAACTGTTCTAATTGAGCTTACCCCAGGCGCTTTTAATCTCAAAAATGCAAAATCTAAATTCAAACAAAATCTTTCTGATCTCTTTGCCCCAAATAAGAAGAAATAGTTAGTCAAAAGAAGTGGGTTAGGCAAGAAGCGTCCGAGCTGTGATCGTGTTATGATGATAGATAGATAGTTTATTAAAACTGCTTCGCAGCCAAAGGCTGAATTATGCAATTATTTATAAAAACTTTACAATAATTGAAAATTACTAATGAATCCTAGAAAATAAATCGAAAACTGATTTTTATAACATGTTCATATTGAAATATGTTAAAATGCAAAGCGTGAATATAAGTGGGATAAAACCACAGCCCGGACTGTTTCGACATCGCTTATATAAAAGTATTACTTGGTGTGTTCGTGCAAAGCTTTGGCACATTAAAAAGGCGCTGTCTTCTTAGCTTATAGCGTGGGTTGTTATGGTCTGGTGGAAGGAGCGCCATCAATTTATGGTTTTGATCACTGACGGTGTTATCAGAAAGCCTGCTACATTGTACGTAATAATGCTCCAAAATGGGTGTTAACCCCACCTCTATTGCCAAGTTGCGCTTTCCTGAGGTTATTATTGATATTGCTCTGTTCTCGAGCCGTACCGGCTCTTTCTTTAAGTTTTCTGGGGGAGACCGTTAAAAAAGACAGGTGCTGCATAATCAATAACAGATCTCACGCACGGTAAGTAGAACAGTGCTAGATCTTGTTTCGGAACTCCCGCTCTCTTCAACTGAGTTAGGAAATAGAGTCTATTGCTAGCCTTTTTGGTTATCTCAGTTACATGATCGTTCCATGTTAGATCGTTCGCTATTGTCAGGCCTAGTAGCTTTGTACTAGTGACTAACTCTACCTCCTTTCCTTTTATGATGACGGGATCAAAGACTCTTTGCTCTTTAGCAAAGGAGATCCTGAGTTCTTTGAACTTATTGGCGTTTAGTTGGACCCTGTTCTCGCGAGAACAGTCAATTAATCTGTTAGCTACTGCTTGCGCGTGACTTTCTCCGTCCTTTACTACTACCTCAGACACCGTGGTGTTGTCCACATATTTCCATTGCTGTGCGTTCGTATCAAGGTCGTTAATTATTAGGACGAATAACCACGGGCCTAGTTTGGTACCCTGTGGTACGTCGGTGGGGACTAGGCCCCATACAGAAAAACACTCTTATGCAAATTGAATCCGTTGGGATCTGTCCGATAAAATCTATAATCCAGTTGATAATGCTAGCTGGTAATTTACACTGGTTACGCAACTTTCTAACGAGTATACTATGATCTATCAAATCAAACGCTTTACGGTAGTCCAATAATATTGTTCTTACGGTGGCTCCGTTTCCATCCGTACCCAAGGACCAGCTGTTCGGCATACTAATTAGCGCCATTGTAGTTGAGGAATTTGGGATGGCTCCGTACTGGTGGTCATGGAGGATGTTCATGACCGCAGGTTTCACTAAACCATCCACGACGAACTCTTCCGCTACTTTAGAAATACACGGGGTCAGGGATATCGGTCTCAGTTCTTTTTTGATGTCGACCACTGGTTTATTTTTGGGAAGGGGAGTCACGTCAGCCATTTTCCAGATGGTTAGAAGACGCTGTTCAGCGTAGGAGGCATTCAGGATTTCCGTGATGGGATAGGCCACCAGGTCGCAGTATTCTTTCAGCAGCCGGCTGGGTGTTCTGTCCGGTCCGCAGTCCTTCCTTGGATTGAGGACATCCAGTGCTCTTTACACGCGCTGCTCGGTTACCCTTAAGATCTCAGGCGAGTCGGACTCGAGAGGCACCCGTTCAAGAGGAGCTGGTAGTTTATACTCCTCGAGTGCTTTGAGGAGAGCGGCATTGATGGCATTGGCTTGCTCTTTGAAAGGCAGTACTGAGAATCCTTCGATGTTAATCTGGCTAGCTAAATTACTGTGGGAGGTCTTTAGGCCGCATAGGCGTTTTGTTTCATCCTACCACCTTTTCGGGTTTTCTCCTTCTAGGTGCTGGATCTTTAACTCATAGTATTTCCCTCTGCAGATTTTCCTCTGTCGGTTGACGGGGTTACGAAAGTATTTAAATTGAGCTGAGTCAGGGCCGATAAAGGGGGGTCCTGGCAATTTGAGCACACAAGCACGCTGATAAGCACATGGTTAGCGTAAATAATTGTTGTTTAAAGTTATCGAATTCGAGTTTTTGAGAGTCCGTTTCTGTAACCTTCCTCGATATATTCTGTTGAATTCATTGAGGTTCAATCTCGGAATTTCACAGGTGATTATGAACGATTAATTCGTATCAGCACCATAATTTTGGGGAAGTTTTGTTTACACATGACCAGTTTACAATTCGTGAACCATTTCTGTAACTTGCTAGGATATTTTCTTTGAACTGATTGAGTCACACTCTCGGAATTTCATCAGAAATTAAGAACGATAAACCCGTATATGTGGCACAAGTGAACACGTTTTAAACTTTCCATACGATTTTAGCAAACTATTCTTAATTGACTACCGATAAATTGGCCTGGCATACCTCGTTGATTATTTTATTATTTTAAGGCCCCAAAAGCCCGGTTTATGACTCTGGAGGTACTGAACTTGATATATTTGATACATAAGGTATCCTTCAAGGAGGAAGGTTAGAATAAAATTGCTTTTACGACCGTCTATT